GTCTCATATTCCTCGTCGGGCAAGAAACTCAATAATAACAACACCTTGTCCTCATCTTCAATCATCACATCTACATTCGCCAAATCTACAAGAAGCTTTGTGTAGTGGTTCATGTGATCACCAATGGAGGTTCTTTCTTCAATTGGAAGCGATAAAACCTCCTCTTCAAATGCAAGTGATTTTTCACACTCTTCGTCAAATACTTGCTCTCTAGGATCTCCCAAATCTTCTTAGCCGAAGTCTCATTGATCATATCATATTTCAAATCTTGATTTATATAAGATCTAATCATACCACACGCCGTTCTATTCATTTTCTTCCAAACCTTCTCCTCAATGTTGTCTAGTTTCCCGTCCAACTCTAATGTATCTTCAAAATTTTGCACGTTGAGCGTATCCAAGACTTCACATATTCAAAGATCAAAATTATTTGTACCATTAAACTTCTCCACATCTACCTTCATAGAGTGGATATTCAAACATTAGACGGTCTTCACGCCGGAAGTACCCTCCACAACTCATTCTTTCTCGACTATCTTTCTCAAAGCACCAACAAAACAATGTGGAACAAACGAAGAATAGATCCAAACTAAGAAAGAGAGATTTTTACCTCCAACTAAAACCCTAATACGGGCCTCCGAAAGATCTCACCCCACACGATGAAAACGAGATCCACAAATAGAAAAAAATCTCACCTTTATCATCAACTGAAGCCCTAGACGAACTTCTATAGCGATTAGACGAACTTCTAAAGCGATCTACTCTTCTAATTAGCCCAAACGTAACCCAAGCTCTTATACCACTTGTTGTACGCGTGGAAGCCACCAAACCTATGTGCTTCGAGAAACCAAACCAAACAAATGTCGAGAGAAGGCAAAACAAACCAAAATAATGGTACAAACACAAACAACCAATTTTAACATGGTTCGACAAGTTGTCTACGTCCACGGGGCAAGAAGGAGATGAAGTTTTTACTAATAAAGAAGAATAGTACAGACTGAGATTACAAATTACTCGAACTCATCAATTAATCTCACCAACAAATCTCTAATTCTCTCCAAACAAAATCCTAGCAATAGCTCAGAAAATACCTCTTTTTTGTGCTCCAAATATCCACAATTTACTGCTCAATCAAAGCCAAAGAAACCCTAAAATATGTTGGTATTTATACCAAATACCAAATCCCAAATAGAATCCAAATAAGAACTTAAACTATACAGAAAACCCGCTATAAGTCGACTTATCAGGCTTTATAATTCGACTTGACAGAACGAAAAATAATAATTGGAGAACAAATCATAAGTCGACTTAACAGTGTCTATAAGTCGACTTGACAGAGTCAAAACCAACAATTCCAGAACAGAACATAAGTCGAATCTTGCACAGATACAAGTCGACTTACCATAAGTCGACTTATGCTTGTGCATGAGTCGATTTACCATAAGTCGACTTATGCATGTGCATGAGTCGACTTATGACACAAAATCTGGATTTTTCAGATTTCCCCACAAAATGATCCCGAAATAACAATGGTCAGGAGAACTTTGACAAGTTAGTTGACAAGGTTGGTGAGGTAGCTTATTCAATTCAGAATGCACATCTTATCCATTAGACAGAAAAATTATCCAAATGTGTGTATGGACTTGATGTGTTCTCCGATGATGCGTTGGATCATGCTTTCAAGACTTTCTAAGGATGAGAAATTAGCTAGATTCTTCATTGTGAAGCCTATTCATTCTCAAATTGTATGGATGATAAAGCATGTTCATTGAGTATGACTTAGCTATGCATTCAGAGAATATTAAAGAGTTGACGAGCGATGCGAACACTGTTTGGGGAGAAAGTTGATGTCTTCATTGATGTAGTCAATACAACTTCAGTCGTTACAATAATAACAAAAAAAGATAGTCTTTTTATAAGACTCTTACACAATGAAAATGAAAATTATAAGAAAATTATAATTTTCCTTTCAACAAACGCAACGGACGTTTATCTTTCGCTACTTGCGTGGGATCTTGGCCTGTGACGGGGATGTTGATATCCGTGGACTACCAAACGATCAGATCAGATCCTGAGCTTCATTGATTCGTGAAGTAATCAAGAAACCAAAACAATTATCTCGATAACATCAAGATAATCACTCTTCTTGAGATTACTGCAACGGGGCAATCTCAAGGCAAAGAACCAGGAAGTGTAGATCTGACGAGCACATCTTCTTTATGCTGACGAACTCGATCCGATCTCCTCCTCACTTCTGAAATTCGTGCTCCTTCAATCTTCAATTTAGCAGGGCTTTGCTAACGCTCAAGAATTCTAGATCTTAAAAAATGAAGGACCTAGGGATGTATTTATAGGTTTTGGGACCTCTGTTTTCAGATAAGAACGATCGATTCACTCTTATCTTCAGTTGTAACCACTTAACCACGTTCTTGGATGATATTTTATCAGATAGAATAAATCCAGGTGGTTAACGGTCGAAAATAACTTAAATATGCTAAAAACTGCTTTCGGGGCTGTGGACACCCGTGGGTGTCTCGGCCAAAGCTTGGCCGAGACACCTAACTTTGGCCGAGACACCAAGAGGCCTGGAGCATTGTTCCGCACGTTCTATCCATTTTCGTCGTATATTCGTCATCCGAACTCGGAATCACATAATTCAACATGCGTCAGAAAGCCGACGAGGAGATCTATGAGCTTCCATGATCGAATCATATGTGGAGTAAATGGGACACGAGGGGCGCTTCATCTTTCGTAAGCGACTCGTAGCTCCCGATCTATTTGTGTTTCCGTTATTCTAAAGTTCTGTTGCTTTGCATGGTTCGTTGACTAACTTCATGCGTTTTTCATTGTCAAATGAGCTTCTGTGACTCGGATAGTGATATTCATCATCTTCTCTCTATCTCGAGCCGTGTGTAGGGACCTATAGGTAATTTTTGACGCCTACAAATACCCCCTCCAAAGTATTTCAGTCTCATTTCTTTTATAAAGGAGCCTAAAATACTTTGGATGTGATCGGTCTAACCTTCAGTCGGTGTAAAAGGACATGTAGTTAGCTATGACTCTTGACTCCTTTGATTTTTAGTCTATTTAATATTTTAACGAATAGCTAAAATTCTTCTGGCATTGCGTTTATTATCTGGTCGTCATCAAAGTCTCGAATCAAAATTGGTGTGTTGGTTTTGGCTCGTATCATTGAGCTGACTTTGAACTGACTATCTCCGTCACAATGCGTTGACCGACGTTGACTCAGAGCTACGTGTTGACCGACATTGACTCAGAGCTATGTGCTGACCGGCATTGACCTAAGGTTACGCGTTGACCGGCGTTGACCTTAGGGTTTCGGATTGTCAGACATTGAATTTTATTATAACGCATTGACCGGCATTGACCTAAGGTTACGCATTAACCTAAGGTTACGCATTGACCGACGTTGACCTTAAGGTTTCGGATCGCACGACGTTGATTTTCATCGCAATGCATTGACCGGCATTGATCTAGGGTTATGCGTTGACCGGTGTTGATCTTAGGGTTTCGGATCGCTAGGCGTTGATTTTCATCGCAACGTATTGACCTGGTTGACCTAGGGTTATGCTTTAACCGATGTTGACCTTAGGGTTTCGGATCGCCCGACGTTAACTTTCTTCGCAACGTGTTAACCTGCATTAGCACAGTTTATACTCGTACGTTTGCTGGAGTATACACAGTTTAAGCTCTTAAGGTATTAGAGCAGGGTAGACCCAAATGTTGTGGCTACAGGACCACCTGTTAAAACTGATTCATTTGCATGAATGGATCTCATCCTGAAGTTATCAGATCCTTGAGTCACGAGACCAATTAATAGAGTTGGTGCATCAATGGCTATCACATTTATAGAATTTTTGGCAAATTCTCAGTCATCAACGGGTTTGATTAGCTTTTAACAACTACCGTTTGAGTCGGTCTAGCATGCAGATTGTTTAAGTCCGTTCCGCGTGTAACGTTATGCTAAGAGAGTTAACTCCCTTAGTGCTACGATATTGAATACGTAGACTTCATCTTTCTCACGGGAATAGACTACCCGGCGAATCGGAGCGAGCTGACATCTTGATTCAAATCTTTGACTGATTTCTTCTTCTTCTTCTTCTTCTTCATATCCTTCCTCTTTCCTCATATACTTTTTTCTCTTTTCTTCCTTCCCCTCAATATATATTCTGTACCTATTTTCCTCAATTAATAAATTTCCTGGGCACCTTGTCCTTTGTTACTTTAAAAATATTCAAGGCCCATCTAAGCATGAAACTACTATATGCTATGATTGAGGGGTCTAGCCCATTTGAAAACGATAACCCACAGGCTGACACACGACTCAAGGCCTACATTTTCAATCTACAACAGTTTATTTGCTTACTATTTATAGCTCGTTCCTTCTTGAAGTACAGCTGTCATAAACCGTGACCGAGAAACTTTGTAACCTCCTTCCTGACTCCACTACATAAAAATACCGATTTAAACTTAGGTTGGGTTCAAACTCAGATAAAAGAAGAAGAGAAGATTATACACGAAGGCCCATGAATTGTAGGTGACTTGACTAATTTATTTGAGCTCAATTGACGTAAAGGTATAAATACGTTAGAATATAAAATTATACCTTCAATCTTCATAATAATTTTGAAATTTTCGTGTAATGCTTAGAAGGAGTATAAGATAATATCAGATCAATCTTCAAATCCCACTGTCCACAAATTGAATGCGAATATTTTATAAAAATTAACACCACTGCGTGCTCACCCGTTTAATGGTCTATTTAATGGCTAAAGGGACTTTAAGAATTTAGCCCTTTTGAATTATGTGTTAAAGTTTAAGTTTATTTGCACTTTAATACCCCCAAAGATTCTCCCTTTTTTAATTCCTTAAGTTGTATTTTGACTATTTGATACCTCAATGTGCAGAAAGATTGAGTTAACTTTGTTCAAGAATACCTAATACAAAAAAGTAAATTGGAAACAATTAACCATATGACTTTATTCAAAAGGGGAAAAGGAAGAAAAATATTAAAATACACACATAATAGCATAAGCCAGCATGATAACACGGGTAAAGAATTGCTCCAACAAGATGCATATGGTTCTTGTTACAAGCACAATAAAATCCTTAACCTAACGACAAGTCTCCATCCTTGTTTCACATGAAAACCCTCGTCAAGAATGCAAGCACAGCAAACAAGACGACGGAGGTCGGAGAAATGCTCGAACCGGCGCCTGTCTCAGGAGCAGTGGGCCCAGGCGAAGGCAAAGTATCGGACCGCACCTGCACGTTGATAATGACCTTCTGGCCGCCGTCGCAGTGTCCAGGGAAACCGCAGATGTACCATTTCTTTCCTGGGGTGACGAGCTTTACGGCATCGTTGCCGGAGCTCAAGGCCTGTCCGTTCTTAGGGACCTGGCAAGAGCGGAACTCAGGGCCGGTTACTTTGTAGACGTTGTGAGCTCCTTGGTCATACATAAAGACTGCAACAATAGCATGAAACATATGCATTTTGTCAAACTTCTTCATGACTAACGCAGAAAATTCACATAGCCAACCTTTGTGCAGTTGAAGGAAGTAGGATTTATAGCAACACAGCAGAAAACTTAACCAAAGATCCACGATAGAGATAACAAAACGCATAAACTACCATAGAGATACAAAAATTTCAACAATAACAATGTGATTGCTTACGTCCCACAGCTCAGGAAGGATTCTACTGATAGCTAGGGATCATTTCTACATAGTTAGGATGCAACTCTGTAGGCGTCTAATTCTGGGTCCCAGTGATATGTATTCTTCATGTAAATCAGGCTCCATAAAACAAACAAGAATGACGATTGAGCAACTAATTTCTGGAATATTTAGGCTACAAATCCGACACTTATTTAAAGCAAAACTATAAGAGGTAATCCATGTTTAAATCCACAGAAGGGACAATCATCTTAGGGGCCGGGTATTAAAGTACAAACTTGTAAATCCTCAGCTCTAGCTCATCCTAACTAAGCACTTCTTGTGCAAGGGAAGAGAGTTTCAGAAATAATAATTAAGATGAGAATGACTGGGTAGCAAATGATTTTCGAGCTAAGCACACAATTAATTAAACAGCCACAAATGACATGATATTATAGAACGTAACAAAGAACAATCAGTAAATTAAGGATAACAATATTACCGATGGTATCTCCAACGAAGAACTCTTTGCCCTCCGTCCAAGCAGTATAATTAACCCCCTTTGCCCATCCCTCGTCGTCCCCCACCATGAACTCTGTCGCCTCAGCGACATTCGTAAATATCGCCGCCATTGCAGCAACGGTCATGATCACAAGCATAAACTTCAATGCCATTCTAATTAAGCTCTTTGAGATGTATGCCATCGAGAGGGATTGGTGGTCTATTTATAGTTCCCTCCACCCTCCATCAGTGTTTGAAGTATGTTGACACTAATGAGGAGGTCAAGACGGTGGTCGCGGATAAACAACCATTCAAGGGGTTAGAAAATTACTTTACTGACTCCCTTCTTTATGGTGCTGAGTCCGATACTGAACCATCGGCCCATGGCACGGACAGCGGAGAAGAAGCTGATACCGAAGCCGGGCTCGATTATAGTGAAGGTCTTGTACTAAATGACATTGAACCTCTTGTAATCGATCTTGACGGTGATGAATCGTCGGACGAAAGTTGTAACTGGCAGCTTGCCGATGAAATAATAAATCATGATTTAGAGTACTCGTGTTGTCTTGATGATGTAATGCAGGAATTATACGACGACCCTAGTCTACATATGCCACTTCGTTCGTCTTGTACGACGACGAAACACCTCCAAACTTCATTCAGAACAACTGTAATACTACCCGCAAAGACAGGGGGTGAAAAAGAGATAGTCTTTGGAAAAGGGGAACCATCCCCTATTCCAGATCATTTCTTGAACATTAATTCGGATGAAGAAGAACCCGGGCGAAATTTCTCTCGGTACAGTTCACAAGCGAATGATTATATGACGAACCAAGGCTATGACCTCTCGCTTGGTGAAGGTCTCTATTTTGGTCAAGGTGTCAGGGTTCCACCCCGTCCCGCTTATGTACCAAAAGGAAAACTGGATAATTATTATGGTCATAAAAGGGGTCTAGGTTATGCCTCATCATCTGATGACGAATACGGCCAACAGATTATTAGCCAACTAATAAATAGGAGTGGACATTCATCAGACGCTTCAACTTGGGATTCTGACGTGAGCATTGGGGAAAGGTTCAAAACTCTCATGTCAAACATGGCAACGGTAGATCCTTCCACAACAGAAGAAGACGATCAGTTGCCCACTTGGGAAGATCCTTGGACACATTACATGAATATCCAATACGGTGATCGATTTGAGCAAAGAGAACCTCCTACAGAGGATAAAGTAGTCCAAATTGATATGGGTGACGAAGCTAACCCAAAGCCTATATTTATCAGCGGTGATCTTCCAACGGATGAAAAAGAGGAACTAATCGCCCTCATTCGAGAATATATCGACGTATTCGCTTGGAATTACGAAGATATGCCGGGACTAGATCCAGAGGTAGCAATGCACAGCCTTAATATTAAACCGGATGTTAAACCCGTCAAACAACAACAGAGACGGTTTCGTCCGCAAATTATGGAGGCAATAGAAGCTGGAGTCAAGAAGTTGATTGATTCGGGTTTTGTCAGAGAAGAACAACATCCTGAATGGTTGGCTAATATTGTTCCAGTCCTTAAAAAGAATGGAAAAATCAGAATCTGTATCGACTTCAGGGATCTGAATACGGCCTGCCCCAAAGACGACTTTCCTCTACCGATTACGAACGTCATCATTGACAACACATGCGGGTTTGAAAGAATGTCATTCATGGATGGATTTTCTGGGTATAATCAAATCAAGATGCACCCGGATGATGAAAAACATACAGCGTTCAGAACACCCCTAGGTGTCTTTTGTTATACTGTTATGCCATTCGGTTTGAAGAATGCCGGTGCTACATACCAACGTGCGATGACGAAGATATTTCAAGAACATCTTCGGAAGACCATCGAATGCTATGTAGATGACCTGGTCGTTAAGAGTCGTGATAAAAACGACCACATTAACGATCTGAAGACAGTGTTCGAGCTTATGAAAACTCATCAGCTAAAAATGAACCCGACTAAATCCTTCCTTGGAATGTCGAGCGGTAAATTTCTAGGATTTGTCGTTACCACAAAAGGGATTCATATTGATCCTGATAAGGTGAAGGCAATACATGAACTACAACCCCCGAGAAATCTTAAAGAACTCAGAGGGTTGCAAGGTCGACTGGCATACATCCGTCGATTTATATCAAATCTGTCTGTAAAATGTCAACCGTTCTCTAAGCTCGTGAAGAAAGGCGTGTCATTCGTTTGGGATGAAGCATGCCAAAAGGCATTCGAGGATATTAAGAAATATCTGGCGAATCCACCTATTCTTGTTGCACCGAAATCCGGCAGACCGTTTTTGATTTATGTCAAAGCGACGAGCCATTCGTTAAGTGCATTACTCGCACAAGACGACGATAACGGTCACGAACAAGCTGTGTATTATCTGAGTCGTACATTGGTAGGAGCTGAGTCTCGTTATCCGGCCTCGCACTAGTATTCGTGATTCAGAAAATGCGACATTATTTAGTTGGACAGACAATTTATGTCATCTCCAACATAAACCCAATCCGAGTATTCATGACCCAACCGGCCTCCATGAATTGGCGTTTAGCCAGATGGGCTTTACTCCTATCGTAATATGACTTGTACTTCAAGCAACAAAAATCAGTTAAAGGACGAGCTATTTGCGATCTTCTGGCGGAAAACCCTACGAAGGATGTAGTCGCATTATACGACGATCTGCCAGATGAAACTCACAAAGTTAATACCACCTCACATCAACAAGTGTGGCAATTGTACTTCGATGGGGCTTCCCGATCAACCAATGTAGCGAGCGCACCCGGATGTTCTAAAAGCTCCTCAGGAGTGGGGGTCGTTTTGGTTTTCCCGGGAAAGCATGTCTTACCTAGAGCATACTCGTTGACCGAACCATGCTCTAATAACGTAGCCGAGTACAATGCATTAATAATTGGACTCAATTTTGCCAAAGAGCTGGGGGTCGAATACCTTGAATCTTTTGGAGATTCTCAACTGGTAGTTAATCAGATTCGAGGAGAGTATGAAGTCAGAAATCAAGACCTGATTCCATACCACCAGGTAGCCATTGAGGTGGAAAGCTCGTTTGAAGAATTTTTCATCGAGTACGTTCCGCGTCTCCAAAATACATACGCAGACGCATTGGCGGCATTGTCGGTATCTCTGGCTCAGCCTCCCGAGACAGAACAATTAATTACAGTGAGAACTCACCAACTTATCGTCCCTATCTACGATTCGGTTGCCAAAGAAGCATATTCAACAGGAGTTGAACCTGAAGTTCGAGATTGGCGTTTCCCTATTATTGATTATGTCTTACACGGTATCTTACCAGAAGACGTAAAAGAAAGGGATTCGATTCGGCGGAGAGCACCGAGATTTTACTACAACGCTGAATCACAAATGTTGTACCGACGGTCGTATGACGGTCTATTACTCCGTTGTCTATCCAATAAGGAAGCAGAACAAGCACTCAAAGAGGAGCATGAGGGGACGTGCGGTGCACATCAACCCGGTCCGAAACTCTGTGACCGACTTAGGAGAATTGGATATTATTGGCCGACTATGGTAAATGATGCGGTTGACTACGCCCGACGATGTCAAGCGTGTCAATTACATGCAAATTATATGCACATACCTCCTGAACATCTACATCCTTCGGCGACATCGTGGCCGTTCGAGACATGGGGAATGGATATCGTGGGTCCTATTTTTTCGCCTTCGGTTAAAGGGGACCGTTTTATTCTAGCAATCACCGATTACTTCTCGAAATGGGCAGAACTAGTTCCACTTCGAGAGGTGAAGACGAGTGATGTGATCAAATTTATCAAACACCATATCATATATCGATACGGTGTTCCGAGGCGAATAGTGCACGATAATGGTCCTCAGTTCGTGAGCAACGTATTTATCAAGTTCTGCAGTAAATTCGGAATTAAAGACGTTTAATCGACTGCTTATAATCCTACAGCTAACGGATTGGCTGAAGCTTTTAATAAGACTATCATCAAAATTCTGGCAAAATTGGTGAAAACTAATAAACGAGATTGGGACAACAAACTCGGCAAAGCTCTCTGGGCTTATAGTACCACCGTCCGTACGCCAACCGGAACCACCCCGTATGCCTTAATATATGGGTGTGAAGCCGTCCTTCCATTAGAAATACAGATTCCTTCCCTCCGTATCGCTCTCACAACGGGTATGACGACGGAAGAACATCATCAAAAACGTCTCGAGGAATTAGAGATGTTAGATGAGAAACACTTGGAAGCTCAACAACAGATCGAGTTTTATCAAGCTAGAATTTCCCGGGATTTTGACAAAAAGGTCCGACAACGAAGTTTTAAAGAAGGAGATTTGGTCCTCGCCGTCCGAAGACCTATGATTCTCACTTCTAAGAAGAAAGGTAAATTTGAACCTAAATGGGAAGGACCGTTCGTGATAGAGACAGTCTATTCAAACGGTGCTTATCGCCTGATTACTCAGGATGGCAACAAATTGATGATGCCAATAAATAGGAAGTTCCTGAAAAAGTATTATCCATAATACGTTCAGGATAACTTATGTAAAACGGGAAGTTCCTAGAGAATCCTGTATAGGATATTTCAAGATAACCTGATATCAGTTGATTATTCTAAATGAAGACTGATCATGTGAATAATCTATTCTTAATTGTTATAAAAATGATTAAGATCTCCTTATTATTCTTGTTGAGATGAGATTTAATGACAGTTAATCTTTCCTCACAAAATCCGATAACGTGATCACGGAAGAGGAGATTCGATGATTTGTAATCTCACACCATGAAACCCTCACTGATCGGATCAACCAATAGTCATCAGTCCGTATCAGTCAACAAATTATTTTGTGTCAAATTCTTATGTTTGAAATCAAGATTTTC